AAATCCGGATGTCTGTCTGTCCGTCTTAAAATGAAATTTGACACAAAGGATCGCATTAGGGAGGGGCATATTTGGACGTAATTTGTTTGGAAAAGTGGGCGTGGCCCCGCCCCCTACTAACTTTTTTGTACATATCTCGGAAACTACTATAGCTATGTCAACCAAACTCTATAGGGTCGTTTCCTTCAGTTACTTCCATATACAGTTCAAAAATGGAAGAAATCGGATAATAACCACGCCCACCTCCCATACAAAGGTTATGTTGAAAAACACTAAGAGTGACTAACAAAAAACGTCAGAAACACTAAATTTTTCGGAGGAAATGTCAGAAGGAAGCTGCACCCAGGCTTTCTTTAAAAATTGAAAATGGGACCAAAAACCATATCTCAGGTACTACTCGACCTAATTCAATAATATTTTCGTAATATTTTCTTAACACCCTGATGACATGTACCAAATATGGGTGAAATCGGTTCACAACCACGCCTGAAATCTCGATTTTCACTTTATCATGCGTGAGTATAAAATGTTCGGTGACACCCGAACTTAGCCCTTGCTTACTTGTTTTATTTTCTCTTCACCAGCTGAGTTGCGGCTGCCTCATCTTCGGTAGAGTTGCCTAGTATAAAACTCTCCTTTGGTAACAGCTTTTGCTCAGCTGATTTAGAGATTTCTTCCTGCACCTGCGTCTGCTTTGTTTCGTGGTTGGAACTCGCTGCTGTCTGATATTCATTGAGACATTATTCCGGTCAGCTGTAGGAGGAGATGTGTCATTATAAACGATATTATATCTGAAATCAAGCATTCGTTACAGCCCCAAAAAGTCACGGTTTGGTGTGTTCAATGGGCAGATGGAATCACTGGTTCATAATTCTTCAAAATTGAAGCCATGATTAATGACTTGTTGGGCCTGAATTGGTGGTTGTTAATGTGGAAGACCTTTGATTTGGTGACGATGCTATACAGCCAGCGAAACAAGCAACTTCTTGAAGAAAACTGTTGCTGAGTGTATTAACTCGCGTCGTCGCCCTCCAAGATTGCGGGATTCAATGCCGCTACACCAGTTTTTGTGGAGTGAAGCGAAGTTGCGATTATCTTAAGAGCTTTGGCGCCTTGGAAGGGCAAATTCGGCGCGTTATTGTTGATACACTGACATATGGCCGTAATTGCAGCAAAACGTGTTCGAAATATGGGTCTCTCGACTGGAATATATTCGAGCCAGCCACGGCGGAACCAAATTGCAAGCGCTTATCTTTATAATGCGAATAAAATCTTGGTCCTAACATTAAATTATATGCATTTTAGTTCTGCTTGAAAGCCACAAGTTAAAAAAATACACTCTTCAAACCACACACTCTAACTACAAATTGTTCCACAGTGCACGCCGGCGTCTGACGCCTGCCATCAACCACAACATCGAAATTTTAAAACCGTTAAAAATGCGTTTAATTGCATTGCAGCGGCTGACGTGGCCGCAAAAGTGAAAACTACTAAAAACTTCATAAAAAATCTGTCGGCTTAAAAATATGGCAATAAAAAACACAGAAACCGTTATGCGTCAGCGTATTGCGTACGTCTGGCAACGCCGTTTACGTGAACAATTCATAATAATAAACTTTGGTTGATGTGGCCGGAGCGCAGCGATGCCCGGATTTTAAGCACTTTGTTTATGCGCTGGTGTTGGTATTCATGTATGGGTGTGTGTGTATGTGATTGTGGCATGGCATGTCGAGAAGTGTTGTCAAATACAGTTGTTCGGCAATGAGTGAACAAACGGTTGCGCAGGCAAACACATGTCGGCACACAAGCGGATGCTGGCGCTGCAGACTGTGAGAGTGACTGTGAGTATGCCGTGGCAAGCTGATGTGTGGACACAAATAAGTACTCGTAAATAACTGTGTAAATAAGGCTTTGCAATGATTTTTTCATGCCACAATGCAACGTAACGCAGTTTGTGTGCCGTAACGTTGTTGCTGTAGTTCCGAGTGTGTGGTACACCGAAGTACCGGCTGTTTACAAGGCCGGAAGTCAGCGACTGCACATACAGTGGCACAAAGCAGCGCCAATATTATTTTTATTTAATTAATAATTGGACCGACACTTCATTAGGGATTCAGCACAGCGGTTAGCTGTTTGCAACACATTTAATTGGCGTGAGTGCAGCCGTGCCACAGCTGTCCTTCACTTTTAATTCGTCGATTATTCAAAAGCATTTAAGAAGTTTATGAATGTAGGCATTTAACCGCACATTTTTAATTTCCTACACTACCTTGAAGTCGAAAAAAGCAAGCTTGCGATTATTTATGGCCCAAAAGCTATCATTCCAGCGCCGGTGTCAATTCAATAACAGCTTGTGGAATTTTGGATTGCAAGCGGCTTCAACACCTGCTTGAAAGGCACGCTGCTGTAGAAACCTTCCTGTTTGTTTGTGTGTGAGCGCGCTGAGACTGATCTCGTAAATCGTTTGTGCGTTTGCCACCTTAGTGCCGCAGTATCTCAGAGCCGCAGCTATTGACGCGCGCCAGTCAGCTGCCGTTGAGGCATTCAAGGCATTCAATGCGCTCGAATTGCAGCGGGTGTGCTTGTTGCGGCATACTTTTTGGCGCTTATGAATCTTGCCTGGCATGCAGGTAGCGGTCATACACTGCGTTTGCTACGAGAGGCATTCAACTGCAAGGGTATGCAATTACAAGCGCGCGCATGAGTGTGTGTGTGGGCGTGTGTCTACTGCTGGCATTCACAAATGAACTGCGCTTAGCCAAACTGCATTGAAGTGCCACATTGTTGTTGTTGTGTTTGTTGTTTGGCGGCAATTTCATTTGCATAGTCGATTAGCTACCTGCGGCTTTTAAGTGGCCTTTGTAAAGCTAAGTCACAAGCGCGTGGACGGACGCTGGCTGAATGAGTGGACGTCAAATGCACGAATGAATTCGCGTGAACGCGATGAATGAAAGCGTTTTGGTGAATGACAGGTTACGTGTGTTGTGCGTCAAACATGATGGTTCGGCCCGCCACGCTGTCTAAGCTGCATTGTTTGCCTGTAACGTGGCAAATGGCACGGAAGACCTCACACAGATGATCGCTTGTAAGCCATTGAAGATTGAAAGCAACCCTTGGTGCGTGTTCGCTTTTAATCTCGCTTTGCAAACATGATTTGTGGACTTGAACTGATTGGACTTAAATTAAGGCGTCGCGATGCATGGGGGCATGATTGGCTGCTACTTTAGGGAACTGAGTGATAGAAACGGGTGTTTTTTTAAACGTTGGATAGTATTCTGATAACCTCATTAGCTAATACTTTAAGTAGTTGGTTTGCCACGTCATTATGTAGAGAGCGGGGTAACGTGTCCGAATTAACGGACACTGCTGCCAATATAACTCCCAGCAGAGTCAAAAAATCGAGTTTCTGGTCCAGTTATGTTCCTTGAACTCCGCTCTAAGCTCCTTTTTTCCATAGAACCTATCCCTTTAGTCGCCTGCATGACGCTGCGCCCTATATTCAATCCACATAAACACCCAATAAAGTAAAAAATTCGAGGAACTCCCCTTCAAGCTCCTCATTTCGAAGAAACCATCACTGCAGTTGTCTGCTTGACGCTGCGTTCAATTTTTGGTCAACATAAACACGCAGCAGAGTCAATAATTATAGGTTCTGTTCAAATTAAGGATGGAAACCATCCTTGCGGTCGTCTGCTTGACTTCGAACGCAACTGAGACGCATTGACCGGCATTCATTGTGGATCCAACAACACCTTCACCGACCTCGTCTTAGCGAATGCACTACATGGAATCAGACCACCATCGATTGTAGACGAAGAGCTTGAGTTTTTTAGAGTCTAGGTTGACTCTTGCGCGATTTCTTTCGGGTCACTGTAGCAAATTAAACTGCTACTTATTCGGAATCGACCCTATATAGGGGTCGAGTTCCCGGAATTCTTAAAGCTCCACTTTGCATGTCCAACGAGCCTCACTCTATTCTAGGCCTACTGATGACTTCGATGACAACCACTCCGAACCAACAACATTCGAGCCACCTTCAGAGAGGTAAATAACCACTCACATAGCAAGACGGCGATACTAGCCTTGAACTCATCAACAGTGCATTCAGGGTTGCTCAAGGAGTGCCCAACCTCGCTATCAATTGCATTGAGTGGCTTTGTGATATTTGGAATATTTGGAAATATTACCAGACGCCATCAGCAACTCAACTCTTTCTTCTTGACTATCCCACGTATGAAAGGTCAATACTTAAACACTTGGAAGCACATACCTTCAGGCATCCCACCGAACTGGCGGGAATGGAAAATTTTTAGTGGCACAACAGTAGCGAATTTATAAGTTTGATCACAGGTGTCTTCATTTCTTTGATTTCACAAAGGACTAAATATAGCAGTCCACGAGCGATCTCTCTAGAGCAGTCATGTAACCTAACTTAATCTAACCATGGAGCATACATACTTTATGCACCTGCTGTAGAGCAGATTATCGAAGAAGACGTGAGGATGATTGGACCTGTGCTTATCCACTTTCATAGATTTTGAGTTAAAGTGCAAGAATTGAAACCAAACACCCACCAACAGAGTTGCACTTTCGGTGAATAAGCCATAAGTCAGATGGAAAGCGATCCCAATTTTCAAAAGTAAATATAGGTCGGCTATGAAGCTCACTTTTGGTTGAAGACATTGCTCAATTTTGTTTAAAGAAGTTTATTGGGGCCATGAGGGACTACTTTGAGGGGGACGAAAATATTAAAAAAAAAAAAATTAAGAACAAAGTCTTACTATTTTTTGCTTGTATTATTACTAAGATAAGGTCCCAATTTCTGCAAAAATATATCGATCAGGCTTCGCGGCTGAAATTTTTTCTTTATAAGGTATGGACCTCCTTTTCAGAAGCAAGATTGGTTTTTAAAAACTACGAGGATAGAGAAATGCTGACATATTTTAAAACCATACAAATGGTGAGGAATTGTTACAACTGTTAAATCAAAACATATGTTATTTTTTTGCAAGAAAACTTTTATTTTCAGTACAGTTTACAGGGTTAAAATTACAAGTACATTAAATGTTAAAAATCTTGTGATGTCATCGTTATATCGCCTGGGTGGTGGTCCTTGTTTGTAGATTCCTTCTATCTATTTTTTGGTGCGCCGCGCTTCACGCGCAGCTTTAGCTTATATTACACACATACATACATACATACTAGTTTATTACAGTGGTAGCACACTTTAATTTTTTTCTTGTTGTTGTTTTTTTTAATGCAGCATAAAAGGTTTGTAAAATTTTTCTATTTTTCCAAAAATTTACAACTTTCTGCAGCGCTTCTGCAGCACTCACACTCGTGCGTCATACCTGCAACTCAATGGCGGCGCTGGGCAACAGCCGTGTATTTCAGGGGGCGCGCGGCAGCGCGGGCAGCCAAGGCTTGACGGTAAGCAGCCGCTTTGCGTTGACGCTGGCGCAGCGCAGCGGCGCGACGAGCAGCGACCAGGCGCGCCTGTTGCTCGTCCAAAGGAGCGGGGAAACTTTCGGCAGCTGGGTCGGCAGCGGGCACATCGTCGACAGGCGCGAGGTCGCCATCGGCGGGCAAATCGTTGCCGGAGACCTCTGGTGGACCGTATACCTCATCGGGCTGGTTGGCCTCTGGTGGGCCGTAGACCTCGTCGGGAATGTTGGTGGCGGGCGCGCCTTCATCGAAGGGCACAGCTGGTTTCAGCTCATCAGCAGATGGATATGGCGTAACTGCTGGTGCCTCGGGTGCGGCGTCGGCTTCCTCTTGACGCGCCAGATAGCGAGTACGTGGACGTTGGTAGCGCGCCGCTGCCGGACGGTAATAAACGCGTTGGCCACGTTGTTGTGGTTCAGCTTCGGTGCTGGCAATGCAGGCGATGAAGGCGAGCACGGCGCACAGTACGACAATTTGGAATTTGGCCATTTTGTTACTTTGTTTTTGCAGTTGATACACAAGTAGGAGTTGAAGAAGTTTTTAAATCGTTTAGTTTTTCGAGGATAAAATTTTTTTCAATCAAAGACTCGCGATAATTTTTTCGAATTGTGCAATTTAATTTAATTTAAGAAAGGAGAATTTGTGTGTGCGACTTAGTAAGCGAACACTAGGAACTGATATCGATTGGTAGGCGAAGCTATGCTTTTATACGCTGATCCAGCACGAAGCGCTAATGTCTTGGGCGCACGTCCAGCCGCCGGTAGTTTGGCGTGCAGGAACTGCGTGGTGACATCGGCATCCGTATTTGGCGCGTTCGGCAAGTATGGCAAAGTCGCCATAGTGCTGTTTGCCGGCGTTTGGGAAATATGCTGATTTTATGACTAGACGTGACGAACATTTTACCGGTCGCTAACCAAACCATAAAGTTCTAGTGACAAAGTCTCTAGAACAGATAAATTCGTGTTAATTGACAGAATGAAAGCGAAAACAATAATATTTTTTGTTGCTGCTGCTCAGCTGTGCGAACGATTGATTGAATTGCCAACTCCATACCCCGCCCATACTCGCTCGCAGGGCGTCGTTAGCCGGTCGCCAGCTGCCGGCTGCCTGTTGCTAGCCGCTGTCAATGCTAATTCGCCAGTTCCGCAGTTAAGCTTTGCGTGCTCGCTTGTTATGGAATATGTCGTTGGTATATGGAAATCGGTAGCAAGGCGAATCGGACAAAAGGTAATTAATAAAATGTTCGTAGCTATTTATAGTTTCGTATTTATCAGTAAAGTGGCTCCAAAGCATGTCCCTTATCATAGATATTTCTTATGAATTTTCTTTATTTATAATAAAAGTTGCTCTATGTGATGTAAATTTTGTGGCAAATATCGCTTAAGGAGCAATTTGGAAGAAAGTTTCGTGAGTACGTGTCAAATTGTATGCATTTCTGAATATGCAAATGTCTTAAAAAGGCGCCTCCTTTGATTATGTAATAAGTTGGCTCTGTTTGGCTTCCAAGTTCGAATATGTGTACATGAGAATCATATGTTATATATATGCACACGCATATCCGCCCCAAAATTTTGAAACCGATTTCGGGAGAGCTACCGCTCATCTTTACTAGAAAGCTTTTATGAAGGCGAAATATAGAGAAGAGAGTAAGAAAGGCATCGGTTGCGTTATTTTGCTGTAGAGGAGCTATAGAAAAAATTGAGGACAATCAACAAAGTCATGTTTTGGTTCAACGAAGCCGTAGTCAAACCAATAATTTTAATTATATTAGTACTTTAAATGTAACCCCGAAAACTTGGATCCCTGCGTCGCAGAGGCTCTTCGTAATGGCTTTTTCTCTGCTCACATACCGACGCGGGATATGTGACTGAAAAGTCCATGAGCTAGCAATATTGGGCATCCTTAAACCGCTCACCTCGGAAAGGGAATGAGGTGGATCTCCATTGGCATCTTGTTTTCTAGCGCTAGACCAATAAAGCGAATGTAGGAGATCTACTGAACTCAATTCAATATCAAATAACCTCATCTTGCCGTAATCGAATGGGCTCCTACTGGATTTTGTCCTCTAGGTAATACTGCCGCAAGCTTCGTTGGTCGAACGTAGAAAATCTACTGAACCACATGTCCATAGCAAAGTTCATTTTGCCATAAACGTAGTGGTTGCTACTGGATAATGTCCAATTGGTAAAAAACCCGCAAAGCTAAAAGCTTTGTCGGACGCATGTTGTAAAGGTTGAGGGGAGGAGCGTGAGGTGGAAACATCCCGACACTTTCTATTTTATTGCCCAGCCTTTACAAGACCGAGCTTGAGACAACTAGTTAGTTTTATCTTCGACGAACCTGGAGACATAGCCGTAAGTGATATTAGCCATCTCAACTAATTTGCGCATGTGTTAAAGCTCTTCGACGAAATATGAGGATCTGCTGATCATGCTGGTGTTATAAACTTTCCTAATGATGATATTCCTGTTACAATCGACCTCATAACCTTATCTGGAGAGTGCTTTTACTTCTCTTCAAGAAAGAGAAGACAAGACAAGAAATACTGATGTTGAGGATAAGCCATGTTTGCGATTATGTTGGCATTTATTATAACAATGATTATAGGTGTGCCCTGCTTCATAAAATGCTACAAATTTAAGTATATGTGGTATAGATTAGGCTAGGTTAGTTGGATGATTGCTCAGCATGGCTACTTCATCATAGACATTAATATATTCCTTTGTAAAACCAGATGAAAAACTCTTGTACTTGAATACCGACAAGGTGAACCAAACCTCTAAGAAATCTACATGGGTGTTTCATTTTTATTTCAGCTATTTCCCTTGGATGTTTTAAAGTATAAGCCCAAGGTATTTTTTCCTTGATTTACCAAAGGCAGGCTTTTCGAAGAGGAAGTTTAGAGATGGTTCAATATCATCTTATGAAGCCCGATCGAAAAATGTTCAGTTTGAATTGGTACAAATATTGAAAGGAGGCCCTTGCTGAGAGCAACAGTAGTGAACCACAAGAAGGCAATGGAGCTCATGCCCGTTTTTATTCGGCAGTTAGTGAAAATTTAGTACCTGTCCTTGGAAGCTTGTCAGCCTTGTAGTTTCCTGCAACTGCGTGCTGTAGCCGCCAGTACTCTAGACATCCCTTCACTAGTCTGAAGCGCACAGTCAGCGAACTCAGGGTTGATATCGGTGTTCTGATATAAGAGTTGATAGTCACCACTCTGAAAGAGGCTAAGCTACAGAGTGTTAGACCTACTACTACCTTTACGGCTGCTCTTCGGCGTGGAAAACGCAGCAGTGGTCAGGAAACCTAAAACTGAAGGTGTTGGAAAGTGTTCGACAACTATGGCGAATCCACTTGGCTCGGCGCTGAAAATTTAGCAGAAGAACACCACGACAGGGTGCCGTGCTTTGATTCGAGCGACAGCAAGTTCATGGATACGGCTGGCACAGGCAAGCTGCCAAAGGTGTAAAGGTGTGCTATTTGATTTTCATTTACAAAAGAACACACACTCACATACATACACATGACTGAGAGTCTTTACAAATAGCAATCTGTATGAGTGAGTCTCGAAATCTATTATTATTGAACTTTGACGGGCCCCGTCAGCAGTAAGCACTTCGGCAGCAACAAATTCACTATCGTTCGCTTATCGTTTATTTGCCAGCTCACTGCGCACTAAGCTTTTAGACCGTAACCATTGCGACAAGTTAGTGAAGAAATAGAGCTGCATGCAGTGCTGTGCTCAAACGATAAATCTGTTTGATGGACAAAGGTAGGGGCGTGCAAGGCGAGCGCACAAAAGATCCCACTACAATGAGTGTATGTGGAGCCACCCGCACAAATACATCAAATGTCGCTATTATGCTGACATATACCACATATGTAGTTGTTATAGTCATTGCTGCATAGCGAAAATGCTGGCATACACAACACAGGCGCGCACACATACTTGCCGCATGCAACTTGCGTCGCATAAACTCCATTGAGTTGCATAAATGCGAAATATAACAGCGCAAGTCAAAGCAAAGTGATTGCCGCACACACACATACAAATATGAATGTAGATGTGTGGGTGCATAGCACTTTTTATGATAAATATGTGTGCGCTCACGTTGGCATTGAGTTGCAGCGTCTTGTCATAGAATTTCAATATTTCTTGCGCGCTCCTTGCGAGACTCCTTGCAAAGCGCCTCAGCGCTGCATTCTGCTGCTATCCCGCCACTTCGCAGCACTCGCCCTCCATTGCAATTTGTATGAATATGTGATTGCATTTTTATTGCGTTGCAATTGTGTGCAATTTTTAAGATTGTTGGCGCAGCGGGAGCGCGCTGGGACCGCCAACTTCCGTTGCCAAGCGCTTCTCATCCGCTTTGTCAATGAGCTTGCGCGCTCGAGTGCCGTACGTGCATGTGTGTGTGCACAAAATGACTGAATATCTTTGCTTACGCTTCCGGAATGCAGTGGGTGCAAATACAACAACTTGCAACATTTGTAGTTGTACAAGTGTAAGTATTTATTCGCCGTGTGAGTTATTGCTACTTGTTTTTACGTTTCGTTAAAGTTAAATCAGAAATATTGCTATGCATTACGCAATGCTTCTCTGCGAGCAATTCAACGGCAACACAAAAATTTATGGCGTTGGTTGAAGTACTTTTTATACCCTAAACAGCATAAATATTTATTGTCAGTATACTTGTATGTGCGAACTAGTCGCTCGGTTTTTGAGTAATCGATATGAAATTTTTCCCAAATCCTTTCCTATTTAAGAAGTTGCACATTTGTCGGACCCGCCGATATTGGACTGCTATATCATATACTAGCTGCCATACAAATTGACCGATCAAATTTAAATTCTTAAATAGAAAACTTTTTTATTTGACAAGTTATATTTACGAAACTTGGCAGACATTATTGTATAAAATAACGGTACAATAGCCCAAGAAATTGTTCAGATTGGACTACAATATCATCTAGCTGCCATACAAACTGAGCAATCAAAATCAAGTCCTTGTAAGGAAAAATTTTTTATTTACTAGATATGTTATGAAATTTGGCAGTGCTTACTACCTATATATGCGATCGCTACAAACTCCGAACAAATTTTCCACATCGGACAACTATGTCATACAACTGCCATGCAAACTGACCGATCGAACTCACGTCCTTGTATGGAAAACTTTTTAATTTGACTAGCTATGATTACAAACTTTGGCACGGCTCACTATCTATGTCAGCGCTATAATCTCTGAAGAAATTGTTCAGATCGGCCAATTGTGGCGGATAGCTGCCATACAAACTGACCGATCGAACTCTAGTCCTTGTACGAAAAACTTTTTAATTTGACTAGGTATGATTACGAAATTTTGCATGAATTATTACACAAAATAACGATAGAATATCCAAAGAAATTGTTTAAATCGGACAACAATAGCACATAGCTACCATACAAACAGAACGATCGAACTAAAATTCTTGTATGGAAAACTTTTTTATTTTACAAAGCATTCTAAAGAAATTTAGCATAGATTATTATCTGATATAACGGTATAATATATACATAAATTTTTCAGATCGACCCACTATAGCACATAGCTGCCATACAAACTGCACAACCAAAATGTAGTATTTGTATGGAAATCTTTTTATTTGTGATGGATATTAACGACTTTGTTTTTTTGTCACTCCACA